AGAGGAAACGAGAACAAAGAACGGGGAGAATAGGTGGGATTGAGAGAAACAGACGAAGCCTGGTTAACGCCATCCTATTAGGAGAGTCTATTGCATCCCTCCTATATGTTAAACTGCATGTATATTATCCCAATATAGCTATGTACACCTTCCGAAGCTATACTGTCTATGAATCACTCTACTGGTAGTCTTGAAAACCTGCTGATAAAATGAAAAAAGGAGGCAACTCCAGCAAATCTAAAGCTGTTCCAAATCAGCTGAAATCCCTTTTCAATAAAATAGCCTCTTTCAAGAACAACATAGTTTAGGGTCAGCTGGTGAGGGCCATAAGCTCAAAAGGCTTGAATACTATAAGAAATATGATTATTTACAATCATAATCTAGGCTGACATGTTTGCAACGATATACTAAAGAGGAATAAGATCCAGGACATTTTTAATTGTAAGGCCAACTTAGTATCAAAACAAATGAGACGTCTACTGAAGTGAGCTTAATCGGTCAAATCAAACCATCTTCTTTAATACTCACGAGTAAATAAACCTTCAAAATGTGAAATAGAAAACGACTTACATTGACACTAATCTTGAGAGCAAAATGAGCAATCTGACTCGATTGGAATGGCGAATGCTTTATAGCCGATATGTGGTGGCTAAAGAAGTGGCAGAACAAAGGACGAATGAATGGGCAAAGAGCATGCAGCAATCAGAAGGCAAGCAGCATGCTTTTATTGCCAATCGAAAGGGTTTTTTCAATCCCTCCTGAAGTGCTTGAAATGCAGCATGCGCTGTCGCTGAGCAGTCACCTGTCTCTGCAGCATCCCCAGTGACTGGCTCCATTGTGTAACCGAATGCCAACAACGTTTTCACTGTTTCGATTGCCGTCTCCCTATAAAACCAGGAAAAAAGACAAACTATTATACAGCATTTAAAATAATCTCCAAATATACGCAATACTAAATGCAATGTCTTTGGGAAATAAATATGTAAATTTAGCCTACTATAAATCATATGGGCTTAGCTGAATGTATATGAACGGATTGCACTTTGCAAGGTACTAGAGAGAGTTGCCGTTCTCTTGCCCCTATGAGTCCATGTAGAGTTTCTATTTCTATAATTTGAAAGGCATCGTCAAAGAGAGTAATCAGGCTTTAAAAAGTATGAAATATCCCACTTCAAAAAGGACCCAAGACGACTACCAGTGTCGTGTTGAGATGAACCAACAAATCTCGTTCTCAAGAATTTTTCATTTAGGGTGCTTATTGTAATAGGATGCATATTATTAATATAATAAAACGGGACTTATTTCATAGTCTATTCAAAAAGACAGATAAAAAATAAGAAATTATATTGTATACGTATTTATATAATTATAGAATTAAACACAAAGGATGAAAAAAACGCACCATCAGAAGGGACATAATAAGTCTAAAATTTTAATCTATGAAACCTAAAGCAGCTAAAAGTGCATGATAACAAATATGAAAGAACCAACTTAAGTTCATTAGCGACGGATAAAATGCTTTTATCGAATTCATTTCCATGATTACCCACCTATTTGATCGTTTGATGACCGGATCCACCTCGCTATAGGGGACCAGATGAGGACTCCTTTTGTTTTGATTATCCTAGAACGAAGATAGATATATGCAAAATAAATTGAGCGAAGTTTAATAATTCCCCTGAGGCTTAAATTTAAAATTATAAATAATTATCTGATTCGGCCACATTACAAACAGAACTATCAATTTGATCTGGTTTATGCTTATATAAATAGCACTTAAATAATAAACCGAGCAAGTCAAGAAAAATGTATATTTAAAACAAGGACTCTGAAAATAAGCCAATAAAACTACATGTTGGCCAAGTATCAGATTCAAGA